GCCCTCAATCTTTCCCAGCATCAGGGCCTTTTCAATGAGTCTGCTCTCCGCATCATGTGGCCAAAGTACTGGAGCTTCGGTTTCTGAAATCAGTCCTTCCAATGAATATTCAGGGTTGGTTTCCTTTAGGATTCACTGGTTTGATCTCCTTGCAGTCCAAGGGACTCTCAAGAATCTTCTCCAGCACAGTTCAAAAGCACTAATTTTTTGGCACTCAGCCTTCTTTATGGTCCAACTCTCACATCCATACATGACAACTGGAAAACTCATTTGTTGTTCAGTTGCTCAGTCACGTCCGACTCTCTGCAAGCCCACGGACTGCAGCATGCCAGGCTTCCCTTCCTTCACTATCTCCCGGTTTGCTCAAATTCATGTCCATTGAATTGATGATGCCATCCAATCATCTGACTCTCTGTTATCTCCTGCTCCTCCTGCCTTCAATCTTTCCCAGCATCAGGGTCTTTTCCAATGAGTCGGGTCTTCACATCAGGTGGCCAAAGTATTGGAGCTTCAGCTTCAGCATCAGTCCTTCCAATGAATATTCAGAGTTAACTTCCTTTAGGATTGATTAGTTTAACCTCCTTGCTGTCCAAAAATGGACATTTGTTGGCAAAATGATGTCCCTGTTTTTTAACACACTGTCTAGGTTTGTCATAGCTTTCCTTCCAAGGAGCAAGCATCTTTAACTTCATGGCTGCAGTCACTGTCCACAGTGATTTTGGAGCCCAAGAAAATAAAACCTGTCACTGTTTCCACTTTTTCCCCTTCTATTTGCCATGAAGTGATGGGACTGGATGCCATGACTTTTGTTTGTTCAACATTGAGTTTTGAGCCAGCTTTTCACTCTACTCTTTCACCTTCATCAAAAGGCTCTTTAGTTCCTCTTCACTTTCTGCCATTAAAGTGGTATCATTTACATATCTGACATTGTTAATATTTCTCCGGCAATCTTGACTCCTGCTTGTGACTCATCCAGCCCTATGTTTTGCAAGATGTACTCTGCACATAAGTTAAATAAGCAAGGTGACAATATACAGCCTGGTTGTACTCCTTTCCCTATTTTGAACCAGTCTTTTGTTCCATGTCTGGTTCTAACTGTTGCTTCTTGACCTGCATACGTGTTTCTTAGACAGGTAAGGTGGTCTGGTTTTGCAGTTTGTTGTGATCCACACAGTCAAAGACTTTAACATAATCAATGAAGCCAAAGTAGTTTTTTTTTTTTTTTAATTCGCTTGCTTTTTCCATGATCCCATGGATGTTGGCAATTTGATCTCTGGTTCCTCTGCCTTTTTAAAATTCAGCTTATATATCTGGAAGTTCTTGGTTCACATACTATTGATGCCTAGCTTGAAGAATTTTACTTTGCTAGCACGTGAAGTGAGTGAAACTGTATGGCATAGTTTGAACATTCTTTGGCATTGCCTTTCTTTGGGATTAGAATGAAAACTGACCTTTTCCAGTCCTGTGGCCATTGCTGAGTTTTCCAAATTTGCTGACATATTGCGTGCAGCACTTTCAAAGCATTTCAAATCTTTTAGGATTTGAAATAGCTCAGCTGGAATTCCATCACCTCCACTAGCTTTTTTCATAGTAATTCTTCCTAAGGCATGCTTGACTTCACTTCACACTCCAGGATGTCTGGCTCTCAGTGAGTGACCACAGCATCATGATTATCCAGGTCATGAAGGCCTTTTTTGTACAGTTCTTCTGTGTATTCTTGCTGCCTCTTCTTAATCTCTTATGCTTCTGTTAGGTACACAGCTATGTTGCTATCACCACAGCCCAGGTAACAAATGTATCCCTCATGGCGCAAAGTTTCCTGGTGACTCTTTTTTTTTTTTTAATGTGTTAAGAACACTTACCACACAAGAAATCACTACAAATCACTATGGATGGCGACTGCAGCCATGAAATACAAAGACACTTGCTCCCTGGAAGGAAAGCTATGACAAAGATAGAGAGTGTCTTAAAAAGCAGAGATTACTTTGCCCAAAAAAAGTCCATATAGTCAAAGTGATGGTTTTTCCAGTAGTCATGTATGGATGTGAGAGTTGGATTATAAAGAAAGCTGACCACTGAAAAATTGATGCTTTCAAACTGTGGTGTTGGAGAAGCCTCTTGAGAGTCACTGGGACAGCAAGGAGATCAAACCAGTCAATCCTAAAGGAAACCAGCCCTGAATATTCTTTGGAAGGACTGGTGCTGAAGTTGAAGCTCCAAATCCTTTGGCCACCTGATGAGAAGAACCAATTTGTTGGAAAAGACCCTGATGCTGAGACAGATAGAAGGCAGGAGGAGAAGGGGATGACATAGGATGAGATGGTTGGATGGCATCACTGATTTAGTGAACATGAGTTTGAGCAAGCTCCGGGAGATGGTGAAGGACAGGGAAGCGTGGCATTCTGTGGTCTGTGGGATCGCAAAGAGTTGGACATGACTGAGAGATTGAACTGAACTGACTGAAGAACACTTAATATGAGACCTTGTTCCACTGTTTGCGGGAATGTAAAATTGATGTAACACTGATGACCATTATGAATGTTCCTTTAAGAACTAAAAACAGAGCTTCCACATGATCCAGCAACCTCACTCCTGGGCATACACCCAGAGAAAACTGTAATTCCAAAAGGTACATGCATATCAATGTTTATTGCAGCACTATTTCCAATAGTCAGGACATGGAAACAAACTAAATGTCCCATCAACAGAAGAATGGATAAAGAGGTGGCACATATATACAATGGAATATTACTTAGCCATAAAATGAAACATCTGTGACATTTGCAGAGATGTGGATGGATCGAGAGATTCAAAGTGACATTAAGTCAGGAAGAGAAAAATAATTATCATATATTAACGCATATATGTGGAATCTGGAAAAATAGTGCAGATGAGCGTATTTGCAAAGCAGAAATACAGACACATAAATGGAGAGAAAATGGATGAACATCAATCAGGAAAGCGGGGGTGGGATGAATTGGGACATTGGGATTGACACATACACACTGCTGATACCGTGTATAAAATGGGTAACTGCCGAGAACTTACTGTATAGCACACGATATTCTACTTAATGCTCTGTGGTGACAAAGAGGTGATCTACGTGTGCATACAGCTGATTCATTTTGCTGTGTATCAGAAACTAACACAACCATGCAAAGCACCTTAATGCCAATAACAATTTTTTAAAATTTAGGAGATATACGCTTTGCATTTTTTTGAGCACACAATCCCTTCTCGTTAATGACAAGCATGGGGCAGGCATTTTGTATTGTACAGCAGATCTCTGGGATTTACTTCTCCTGTGTAGCTAATTTTATACTGATCCAACAACCAGTTTTTCCTTATCCTCCCAACTTCATCCCTGGTAACAACTATTCTACTATTTCTATTGTTTTTTTGTGTTGTTGTTGTTTAGGTGCTAAGTCATGTCCAGCTCTTTTGCAAACCCCATGGACTGCAGCCAACCAGGATCCTTCCTCTGTCCATGGGATTTCCCAGAGAATACTGGAGTGGGTTGCCATTTCCTTCTCCAGGGGATCTTCCCTACCCAGGGACCCAACCTGGGTCTCCTGCATTGGCAGGAGGAATCTTTACCACTAACTTATGCCTTTGATTATTTTAAATGCCTTGAATAAGAGGAATCAGGCAGTGTTTGTCCTTCTGTGACTGACCTATTTCACTTAAAATTGCTTCCAGGTTGATCTCTATGACTGCAAATGGTAGGATCTCCTTCTTCTTTTGAGGATAATATTCCATGGTACATTTCTTTCATGTTTTCTTTATGCATTCATCTAATGGCATATATTTGGGTTGTTCCTATATTTTGATTATTGTGAATAACATTGCAAGGAACATAGGAGTGCAATATCTTTTCAGAGTCCTAACTACAGTATTTTTGGATCTATAACTGAAAGTGTGATGCCTGGATTTATTTCTATTTTTAATTTTGTGAGAGACTGCCATGGTATTTTCCATAATTGCTACACTATTATGCACCATTTAAACTTTATTTTACATTCCCATTGACAGTGAACAAGAATTCTGTGTTTCCTACAAACTCACCAACACTTGTGGTTAATATCTTTTGGTTTTTTGATGATAGACACCCTAACAAGTGTGAGTTAATATCATCTTGTGGTGTGTTTGTTTGTTTTGCTGAACTTGCAGGCTCTCACATCCCCAACTAGGGATTGAACTTGCACCCTTGGCAGTAAAAGCACCGAGCCCTAATTACTGGACAGCCAGGGAATTCCCACCTTGTGGTTTTGATTTGCATTTCCCCAGGATGAGTGATGCTGAGCACCTTTTATGTATATGTTGGCCATCAGGAGGTCTTCTTCGGAGAAATTTCTGTTCTCCTTTGCTGCTTTTCTAGTCGGGTCATTTGTGTTTTTGCTATTGAGTTTTAGGAATTCCTTATTTAGTTTGGGAATGAACTCCTTGTCAGCATATGGTTTGCAAGTATTTTCTCCCACTCCCTAGACTACCTTTTCACACTGTGGATTGTTTCCTTTGCTGTGCGGAGCTTTAATCCTTAATGCCATTTTTCAGTCCTTCATTCCTTCTTCCTGCCAGACAGTGCAACCTCACTTTCTCAGATAAGCTTCCTCCGTGCTCCCCACTGCTGCCTCCCATGTTAGGTTAGGTCACCTATGGTAATCTCCTGGTGCCCTTTGTATTTCTTCTTTACCCAGTTTGCAATTATATATTTGTCTATGTGTGTTTTAAAATGTTTATTTATTATTTATTTATTTGACTGTTCTGCGTCTTAGTTGTGGCATGTGGGATCTTTAGTTGTGGCATGTGAACTCTGAATTGTGGCATGTTAAAGCTAGTTCCCTAACCAGGGATTGAACCAGAGCTCCCTGTATCAGGAGTGCCAAGTCCTAGCCACTGGACCATCAGGGAAGTCCCCTGTTTATTCATGAAACAATGAACTCCACGAGGAGAAGGATCTCATGCGTCCCACTCACTGTGATGTCACATCAGTTGGCATGGTACCCGGCACACAGAAAGAATCGGACTAAACAAACTGGGACTCACCCAAGGTCATTCATTTAGCACTAGACCTGGACTACGACCTTGGGTCTAATGTTCATTTCTCTGTTCTGCCAGTTTGCCTCCACTCCACATTTTCTATTGCTTTTTTTTTTTTTTCAGTACCCAGACTTCTGACCATCTAGAGATCAAGGCGTGATGTTTACACCTTCTCCTCAAACTGAAAAGATTCCATCTTCATCTCAACAGCCACCTCCTTGCCAAAATAAGCCAGAAAAGGTTATGAGAGTGCCTGCATTCCAGCAGGAGTGGAGCGGGACTGAGAAGAAAAACAGAGAAAAAGGAAATATCCTAAAATGTCGATTTGTTTAAACTTCTTCACAAACTGAACAACACAAGGAAACCAACAGAGACAAGCTTGTAATGAAGTAATCACCCAACGCTGCTAATATTCCAGTAACATGAAATGATTCTGCACATTTCATGGGGCAGATATGAATAGGGTCATTAAAATATGGCCAAGGAAGGGAGGGAGAGTTTACTTTTTCTGTCTCCTTAGAGTCTGTGTCTGAAAGCTCAGCAGGAATTTAAACAAATAGCATGGAGGAATGGTGAATCTGATCATATTTAAAGAGAAAGCCCTTTCAAACTTCTCTTTCCTTTGATAAATACACTGGCTTCTCCAAGTTTTGTTTTTAAAAACCCTGAAGGGTTTTTTTTTTTCCTTTCAATCTGGAGAGCCTACTTGAGAAAAACAAAATTAGCATCAAATTGTTGTGATATTGTTCTGCATATATTTTTTCCTCTATCAAGAAGAAATTGTCCTGTCATCTAAATGAACGTAAGGAAATTAAAAGGAAGGTGGGTAATAGGGAACGGGGATCGTAATGTTCTCTCTTCTGTTAAAATGTGGAAAATAAAGTTAGAGAAGGGCTGGTCAGGTCAGTGGCACACAGGGAGAGCTACTGACAAAGGGAGGTCACACCAGTAACACAGGCTTGTGAAAGAAGGGCAGAATTGGGTCTCTGAGACTTTGGTCCCATACATTCTAGACAACCATAGTAACTGTAGTTACTATGCAACTGTAGTAAGAATGGCTGAAGACAGAGAGGTGCTCTCAACATCCTTGGCTAAACTAATGGTACAGACTACTGAACTCATGGAGGATGGCAGTTCAATGCTCTGACCTGGGACAAGCTACTTCACTTAAAGCCACAGTCTTCTCACCCGTAAAATGGGGGAGAAGAAAATCTACTTCCTGGTTTTGTAGGTTATATAATTTAAAAGAAATACATGTCACCCAGCACATAGTAAGTCGTCCACAGCTGTTAGGAGGAAAACTTAGAAACTTCCGCTGGTGATGATCCCCTTTTTGGAGGAGGACCCTCAGCTTTAGAGAGGATGGAGACCGGCCATGGGTTGGGGGGCACTTCAGCCAGCTGCCCCCTGCTTCTTCCAGCCAAGCAGCTCTTTCTGGGCTGCGGTGAGGCCTGAGGGCCCAAGGCTTGTTACCCAGTTTGCTTAAGCAAGTTCTTTCACACACACACCCATACACACTTTGGTCCAAAAGTTCAGTGAGGCTTTTTTCTTCCTCCTTCCTCTGTTGTTGTTGGGTTCTGATTACTTCCATCTGGTTGCGGCAGCTCGAGTGGAGTCTCTAAAAACAAAACAAAACAAACAAAAACCCTTCCTACCAAACACACAGGCACCAAACCTAGAAGGCTGCTAGGCTTCTCACCAGCAGGCGCCCAGAGGGCGACTCGTGCTCGCCGCGGCGGGGGGCGCAGGCCGGACCCCGGCACCTGCGCGCGCTGGTGGCTGCCAGAGAGTCGGCGTAGAACCAGCCCCCACCCCGACCCAGAGCCTGCCTCCCTCCCCGCCCGCCCTGCAGTCCCCCGCTTCCGCCCCGGCGCCCGGAGAAGCGGGCGCACTGGGAACGCCGACCCGGGCATCTCCCGGCGGAGGGGAAAAGGGAGGTGGGGAGGGCGGGGGATTTCAGAGATTGAAAACAGAACCGTCCCTGCGCCTCGGCTCCGGAGCTCATCTGACTTGAGTTAGCGACCCCCCACCCACCCCGGCGCCTTAAAAAAAAGTGTTGGGGACTGGCGCGCTCTTTCGTTCTCTGCTGGAACTTTCTTCGTAGGTGTGCTTTCTCTCCCGGGCGCGGAGGAGGAGGTCCTAGGCCCCCCCGCCCCTCCAGGTCCCCGGGATCCCCTCCGGGCGGGGGCGCGCGGCTCGGGCCGGGGCGCGGAGCCCTGTGTACGCCGTGCGGGCGCGCGGCGGGCTGGAGCGCGGGAGTGCCGGAGCTCGCCAGCCGAGGCAGCACGGCTCCGCGGACTTTTTTTCAAACTCCCATCAATGAGTCTTCGAGGAGGAGCGGGAGGCGGCGGCGGCGGCGGCGGACGCGAAGGAAGACGAGGAGGAGCGGGAGGAGCCGGAGGAAGGAGCGCGGGCCGCCCTGCGCGCCGGAGCCTCGGTGAGCTGCCCGCTCGCCGGCTGTAGGGGCTGCCTGGCCCCCGTCCTCCTTTCGGTCCCCTCCCCTGCCTGGCCCGGAACGCCCCGGCTGGAGTGAGCCCGGGCACACGGCAGCCCGTGGTGGATCGCCGCGCCAACCAAGTTGGGATGGGGGCCCGCAGCCACCGCCCGGCGCCCCGGAGGCCACCTGCGTGCTAGAGGCAAACTTTTGTCTCCCTCGGTAAAGTTGCTTTGGCCTTCTTTTGCTTGCTTTTCGTCGCGAAGTGCCCCCTACTTCGGCCGAACTCGGGCCGACTGGGATGCTGCGCCGTCTTGGAGCGTCCCTCGGCCGGGTACCCGCGCCATGGCACAGGGATTCGGGCACCGGGGGCTAATGCGGCGGCCCGCGTCCAGGTTCTGGCTAAACCAGGCTGGGACCTAAGGGGAGTCCAGGGGTGGGAACTCGGGACCGAGGGGGCGATTTTGCATCCTCCTTCCCACCTGGGGGAAAGAGCCTGCCTTCTTGGGGAGCGCCAACGAGCTTGCCTCCACCCCGTCTCTACCGCCCCCGAGCCCGGGGCTGTTTTTTCGGGAGTTGGGGGTTAGCGCGGGGAGGCTGGGATGCTACAAGCTCCAGAGGTGGGTCGTGGGAGTGTCTCCGGGGAGTGTGCCGGGGGTGGAGGGGCTGCAGCCAGCCGCTGAGAACTTCTAACTGCACTTCTCCGCGCTGCCCGTCTCAAGCCCTGCCTTTCTTTCTTTCTCGCTCCTTCCTCCCCTCCTCGGGCCCTGTCGCCCCCTCCCCCTCGGTCAGGCTTTCTCTCCCGCCTCCCTCCTTGCTTCTCTCCTCCTCCTCCTCTCTTGCCCTCCGCTCAGAGATCCGCTTGACTTCCCCGAGGGATCCTCACGTAATCTCTCGCCCTGTGCTCCGGTCCCCCCCTCCCCGCCACGCTCTTTCTTCCCCGCCCCCACTCATCGCCCACCCCCCGAACCCCCGCGCCGCCGGCAATCTCTCAACAAGTATATTTGCTGAGGAATTTGAAAAATCCACTACTGCAACTTGATCTGTGTGCGATGGATGGGGAGCGGCGCAGAGAGAGTTGGGCGCCAATCCTATTAAGGGTTTAGAAAGGGGAGCGTTTTCCTCGGACGGGGCCCGGGGAGGGGGGCCCGCTGGTCGAGGGAGGGGGAAGGGAGCGCCCGCGCGTGTGTGTGTGTGTGTGAGTGCGCCCCCCGTGTCGGGGGTGGGGGGATGGAAGTGCACCCAACTGGGCGCCTTTTCAGCCCGACAGTAATTGCTGTCACTTCCTAGGAAACCCGACTTCCACCACGCGAGGAGCTGGAGCTGGAGCCGGAGCGCCTCACCCAGGGTGCCCTGTCGCAGGGGCGCGCGCGGGCTTTGGATCTCCCGCAGGGTGCCTCCCTCCACTCCCCGCTCTTTTGTGTCATTTTGGTGTGACTTTCAGAATTGATCCCGGCCGGGAAAGAGTCGACCTGTCCCCGGAGTCTGGTGCTGGGCCGCGGGGGTCTTTACTGTGCAGCTCTGCCTTCTTGCCAGGGCATCCCGCGCGGCGCTAGGCCTCCCGGGAGCACTTTGCAGCCCAGTGGCCGCGGCCGAGTCCCGGGACCCCCGCCCCGCCGTCCTCGCCGGGCGTGTGAAGGTTTAATCCCGACAGCTCCAGATAAAGGGAGCAGTTGTAAAACGCTCATATGCTGTTTGCCGACGAGGCTCAGGGGGATGTTGGAGCATTTGAAAGTAAACGGTTCCCTCGCAAGCGGCATAAAATAGTGTTTAAACAAATATTGTATTGGCGTGCTCAGGGGGCTCGGTGCCAAAAAGGAAAGTAAATAAACGCTGAAATCCAAAATATACAGCGATGGGAAGCCACGGAATAGGCGGGCTGGTCACCAGTCTCCCGAGATCTGTTTGTTCTACCACCTGACCCAGAAGCCCCCTCCCCGCCCACTTCCTTACCTGGCCGGGGAGTTTTCTTCCCTCGGTGTCTTCCCAGGTGTGGGGGCCTCAGAGCGGCTTTGCACTTGCCTCTGACAGGAAAAAGAAAAAACAAAACTCATTGTGTAGCTACCTGGGCTGATCTCCCCAGGGCCGGGCTGGGCACCCTAACTGTGCCTGGCTGCTGTGAGTTCTGGTGGCCTTCAGGCTCGCCCCAGCTTCTGGCCTGGCCAGGGTCACTGATTTTGTACGGAGGCTGGAGGCATCCAGACCACCGCAGATACATCCCTTCATGACCCCACCTCTTCCCATCTTGTGCCTCTTTCTTCCTTCATCTTTCCTGCTTTCGTTTTCTCAGACCTACTGCTTCGACCCTGATGGCCGAGGGTTCTCCCCCAGATTTAAGGTCCCAGTCAAACCCAGCTGCGTAGAGAGTTGTCACTTGCCTGAGAGTTTCAAAATTAGTTCTGGTTTGTGATATTTAGGATGGTTTGTACTTCCCCTCTGCTGGGAGAAATACACTAATTTTGTGAGGTTAGTTAGTGATGGTAGGGGGATTTAAGCTGAGGCAGGAAGCGCTCCAGTGGAGGTGAGGATCCCACTCACCCAGGAAATAGGTGACCCGCCTCTCCCTTGGCTTGGCATCTGAGTGAGACTGTAGTCAGCTCAGTCTGTTTTCAAAGTCAGTGGGCTGAGAATGCCAGTGGGAAGGAGGAAGGCACTCCCAAATCATGGCCAGGCTCACTGAGGACCAAGGCAGGCCTGACTGTTAGGGAGAGTTTTCTTTTTTTTTTTCATTCTCCATGAGAATGGTTTGGAGGGGAATTTGTACAGGGATCAGACTCCTTCGGCAGAGCATCCCAGGCTGCTTCCAAACTCACACGGACCCTGCCCTTGGCCTTGGAGGGGACTTTTTGACTTGGCCCATCTTGAAGGATGTGTGGGGTTAGAGAGGCCCTTCTGGCCGGGCAGCCTTAGAAAGGAGGGCCGGTGTGTGTTCTCAGGGATGCTCCAGCTCACTCGTGGGGAGGGTGCCGAACAGTGAGTTGCCTAGTTGGAAGAGGGGGCTACAGGGCTGCTGGTCGATGACTCCTCGCCTGGCTGCAGGGGTCTTGGAGGCTGTGT